TTTTTAAATCCCATTGATTTCGGGAGAGGCAAGCTGAAGTTTCCTGGGACGGCCCGTCTTGTACAAATCAATGCAGCTTCCTTCGGAGAGGACATGGTGGAGAATGCAGGAGTTGGATCGTGGCCTTCCTGCCCCGTCCTCTTGTGCCATATAAGGAGCGAAAGAAGGGTAGTTTCGCTCTTGAAGCTTTGCCCAGAAAAGATCCCTGATGCAACCTTATCAGACATGTTTAGCCTGACGGGGAACAAGTCCTGGTGAGCTCCCCGAGGTTGGCGTTTGAGTCCACGGGCGTCGGCGTCTCTTCACTGAAGGAGTTTAAAATACTGTACCATGTTCCAAGGTGCTGGATCGAACCCAATGGTTTCAGGTAGAAAGAGACACTGCTCCACTTCTTTGCCTTCCTCATCGCTGGGATGTTTTATGGGAGGATTTGGGGGCGAATCCGGAAAAGGCGGCAGGAGTGACTGCCCCCCCAATACACAGAATCCTATAAGCCTTTCCTTGTATTTTCGAGCTGAGAGGGTCAGTTGGAACACATCCATAACCTGCATCTCTGAAGGCCGCAGACCAAGTAACTAGTTTAGCATCTGGAGAGAAGCCCTCTGGGCTCGTCCTAGACGTATTTAAGAGGCAGTCCTATGCACGCTGAGCTAGGAACAATTTCTATCCAATTCAGTGGGATCTTCCTCTGAATAGAGAGGGTATAGGATGACTCAGTTATCGAGGAGTAAGTCTCACTGAATTCTGGGAAATGAGTTTAGAACAAATGAGCTCGGATTTACAGGCCAGCAATCTTAAGTACTCTGGGTAAACAAAGTTTGCCCATAGATATACTTGTGGGTGACATTTGCTGCATGGAAAGGAGCTTCACTGGTATAAACGTGCACAGGTCTGTTCGTGTGCTTTTCAAATAGGAAGGCCTTCCTTTCTGTGTAACTATCCGAAGGGCCTTCCCCGAAACGCTGTGGGGAGGGCAGTCCTAATGCATCTTGATTCAGAAATCCGACCAGGTTCAGTGCTATGGCTACTGAGTATGTGTGTCTGGGACTGCAGCTTTGCTCTGAAGTCCCTTGCTTTAAAAGCCATCACACCTATTTGACTTTTCCAGCTATTTTTTAAAAAAACATTATTTACGTTCGCTGATACCTGTAACCTTCAAATAGGAGGGGACCCATTTCAGGTTATAGGGTGGCTCGGTGAAAACAACGTAGAACACTTACAATACCTGTGGGGAAAAAATTCAAGTGCATTTTAATAGCATTTGATTTAATTTCTTTACAGATTTAAACCCTGAAGATTTGGAGGCTCCTGAAGAAAGGCGGCCTGGCATAGAAATCTCTTCCTTCTCTGCTTCCTAAGCACGGGCAGTGTTTCACCTCACGGGATCCCAGTCATTTTCACAAGTCTTTCCAGATGGGTCGTGAAATCGCCTGAATTTGTTTCCAAGGAATGCAGTCAGGTATCCTTGAGAGCTGCCGGTCTAGTGATGGGTAAAATCAAAACGGTGCCCCCATGCCATTTCTGTAGCTGGAAGACAAGTCTCCCAAGGGGTAAGGCTGGAATCCCTGCGTGTTTAGCATATTGGCAGGTTTGAGGGATCCAAGCCCAGGACTTTCGGTGTACCCGGCGGGTTCCACATACGCACGCCCCACGTCCCTTGAAAACAGTAGACATGGCGAGTGGCAGTCAGCTGGGCCCAAGAGCTGACATAGCCTGGCGTCCGGTGTCAGGAAAGTCCAACCTGAGATAATAAGTCTGAGACCGTGGCTCCTTCGCATAGGGACGACTGAGTCCCTTCGAGGATTCGTGCATGTAAGGAGGCTCCCATACAATACCCCGCACAGGGAAGCGTCCAGTAGGATCAAGCTCAACGCCTTTCTGTGGCGTCTCTTCGCACATTCAGCACGCCTGTCATTGAGTGCAGAGAGATCAAGGCGCGCCCTTAACCACTCAGGCCTGTTCGCGGTCCTCTTGCAAGGGAAACCCATCACCAGCAACTCCATCACTAGGCACTGACGCGCTTAAAGTCCGTCTTCTGGCTCCATAGGGTTGTGGGATCTCGCGGGAAGTCCGCGCCTAGCGGCCACAGGGAACAGGGATTATTAAAAAGCCGCTTCCCCGAAGTGGCCCTCCAGGTTCTTCTCCTTACCGGGTGAAGAAGCTTCTGGGGAGGGAACTTTCGGCTCCGATTCGTCGCAGTTCCGAAGGCATGTGCAGGGCGTGGCGGATGTTTGGCTGAAGTGCCACCTCAACCCGTGGGAGGCGAGAGAGAGGCGAGGCTGGGACGCAAGATGCTTCAGGGGAAAAGGCCCGGTGTGTGTGTGTGTGTGTGGGGGCGCCCGGGAGGGAGCGTGGCTGACCTGACCTTGCCTTTGGAGAGCAGGGAAACGGAGCGAAGCTGGCAACCAGCCGCGAATCTTCCCAGGGCTGTAACAAGGCTTTATTTCTAATCTCCGAGCGGGCTCACGAACTCCTTCGGAATTGCTGGGATCTTTGTTGAAGTCCCAGCTTCTGGGTACTCAGACAGACTCCCCCTGCTTTAAGGAGAGAGAAAAAAAGAGCGATCGTTTAACGAACAAGCAAATAAAAAAAAAAACCCAATCCACCGGCTGCTGCTTAACTGCTGGGCCGAGGTGGAGCGCTTAGTTTTCCTGTCTCATCTCCACCAAATAGGCTCAGTAGGAAAATATGCTTGGCTGTGTTAGACTGCAATCAAAGGGCAAAGCTCATGCGGCCTTTATCAAGCCTCCCCGTGGTCATCTGTTCATTTACTGCCATGAAAACAGGCCTAATTGTTGCACACTGATAATATTAGTTTAACTTTATTTGACTTGGTGCCCATTTTGTGGGCCCATCAAGAGTAATAATACTAATACTAATACTAATACTAATACTAATAATA